CCTCATGGGGCTCGGCAGTGGAACTGCAAGGTCGGCGGCGGCAGCCGGGACCGTTGGGGGCGGGGTGTGTGGCCTTATGACACACTTCCGGTGATGTCAGGGGTGTGTGGCCTTATGACACACTTCCGGTGATGTCAGGGACCCCTGCCTGCCTGGGGCCAGGGAGGGCCTTTGCGGGGCTTCCTTGCACTCCCGCCGGCCAGGACCGTTGGGGGCGGGGTGTGTGGCCTTATGACACACTTCCGGTGATGTCAGGGGGTGTGGCATATGCTAATGAGTTATGCTAATGAGTTCCCCTAGCTCTTTTTCTACGAAACGACTCCTGACCATGGTAATATCTTTTAGTTGTTCACAGTGGATTAGGAAGCGGCTTGAGACTGTCTAGCTCCTTTTTAGACAAGTATATTTGCAAATTTTGCTCTGCCTGCATTTCAAGTCAGCTAGAAGTTTTGTAGACTGCTATGCATCAGTCAATAGGAGGTTTTGTGAACTTGGCAAGTTCTTCTGGAAAGTGGCTTGAAGAAAGGAAAACTGAAACGAAGAGAACCGAGGCATTCGTCGCCACCGACCACTCTAGAGAGGACTTTGACTGTACAGGAAAAGAGCTTAGCTGTATTCTAATGTATTGAAAGTTGGAATTTATCTAAGGAGTCCTGTGTGGACCATACTGAAATTGTATGAATGTGTAAGACTATCTTTAGGACTTTACAGATCCATTTGTATTTCTTTACACAGTGCTACAGTCTCAGTGTTGTGTTTTTGTACTAAAAAAAGACAGCTTTTGGCAAAAAAAATTGTAATAATTTAATCACAGTTATTTTGTATTTTTAAGTTTCTTCGGTCGGAAGAATGGCCCGTGTCTTTGTCTATGGAACCCTTAAGAAAGGGCAGCCGAACTACCATAACATGACAGACAGGACTCATGGGACAGCCAAGTTCCAGGGCAGAGGACTCACAGTGGAGAAATACCCCCTGGTGATCGCAGGGAAATACAACATTCCTTTTTTGCTGAACGCCCCAGGAAGGGGGCACCGTATCGCAGGAGAGATTTATTTTGTCGATGACCAGATGTTGCAATTCCTTGATGAATTTGAAGACTGCCCGAACATGTATCAGCGTACTCCAATGAGAATTGAAATAGTTGAGTGGGAAGATACAAGCAGTGCACCTGAAGAGAGGCCAGCTGTTAACAGCATTCTGGAATGCTATGCATACAGCACTACAACTTACCAGCCTGAATGGATAAATCTCCCTTACTGTGATAACTACGATTCCTTTGGGAAACACGGACTTCTGTACGTACTACGGGAAGGCAGGGTAGATAAAAATCAATGATTTTTAAAAGTGTTTTTTGATAAAATGCTTTCTGAGGGAAAAACTATCTAAAACATAGTTTTAATTAAGATACGTTATAGCTTAGAGGTAGCTCATCCTGGAATAGTCTAATTTTAGTCTAATTTTATAGCACAAGATAAACTGCTTATATTGATCAGAAAGGGAATACAATATGTAGCACTAATTATAGTGAAAGAAAGCACTAACGGGTGGGATGCAAACTTCCATCATCAGACAGAAGCTGGTGGAGGGGTACCTTCTTGCCTCCCCAGTTCTATTGCAGCCCACTGAGCCCCCCACCAAATCCTGCTCATGGGGGGAGGGGTCAAGGGACCCTCACAAACAGTGTGAGGGGCACAGTGGGGTCTGCACTGGGAGAGGGGAAACCAGTAGAAACCTCTCTGCCAAGGGTAATGCCAATGTAAGCTGGCAGAGGCAACCATTTGGACCCAGGAAATGGTTGGTTTCAAATAAGTATATTGAAGCTTGCAAATTTTTCCTTCCTTAATCAAGTAGGATAAAAAAATAGATGAGATGTAAACGAAGAACTGCAGTTAAGGTAACTACATCAAGATTTTTCTTTTTTCTGCACAGAAGAAAAGAAATTCTGTAGTATTTGGTAGTTCACTGGTGGGGGAGAACTTTTTTCATTACCGTGTGACATTCACATAAGCCATAAAACAGTCCTTGGAAGAAGCCCTTTAATCAAGTGCTGAGACATGAATGAGTTTATGAAAGAAACTGAGCCACCAACAAAGATGTGTTCAGTAAGCTCCTGAAGTCCAAGCCTCTGGGTTTCAGTACCTGACAGTGAGCCAGGAGGCTGGGCAACATTACCCATGGACCAGCCTTTCATGCCATGGCATTGTTCTGGTGTGGAGTGATGAGCATTGCTCCAAAAATGCAAATAGGCTTGATGTGCTGCCAAGGAATTCCATCACCACAGATGCTACAGCAACAACAGAGAAATGGGTAGAGAGAGAAGGAAAGCCTGCTCACATGCCTGTTACTCAAGCGGTGTTTCTGCTATCATGGGGCCATCTTACTACTTTCTTCACTGGCTCATTCCTGGGCCAGATAAGGTTTCTTCTGGGCCAGATAGGGTTTCTTTACCATTATGCACTTTATGCTACCTAATAACTGTGCTTCATCTGCATGAGTAACTGTAGATTACATTGCATTACTTTGTAAAATCTACATTTATTATTATTATTATTATTATTGACTGCTGATTGGGATTGCTGATTTTGAATCAGCCACATGGCTCAGTATCCTCATTTGTCTTAGAGCTCAGGAGTTCTGAACATACACATTGGGTGAGAAAGTAGA